AGCAGTGATACCTTTATTGGCCAACCAATATGCACAATATACTTGTTACAAGCTTTTCTCCACAACAGGAGAAAAAATTGGAGAGGTTAGTTAGATGCCTGCATTTTGATGTTTCAGTCTTTAGTTAAGATGGTAAGTGGAGGGTATATGAGACTTTTGCAGGCTGGTCCCTCCTCCTCCTGTCCTTGTGGCTATTGGGAGATTTGCAAAGACCAGGAAATTTAAAGTCCATTTGCATCTCAACAAGGAGCCCTCTCTTGCAATCCTATGCCTTCATTCCTATGAGGTCACAGGTTTCTTTGTAGGCAGAGGACAATGGATTCCTCAAGGAGTGTTCGTGCTTTTGCATTAGGAAGATTTTGGTAGGCGTTGAGGTAAAACATGCCAATCCAGTTCAAATTTAAGAACAGGGGTAGGCAACCTAAGGCCTGGGGGCCGGATGCAGCCCCCCCGAGGCCTTTGGACCGGCCCCAGGCCAGTCCTGCCGCCGCCGCTGCCCCCGCCTGCCATGATGATATTGATTATCATTTTATTACTTGTTCTTGGGGTTTTCTTGGCAAAATCTCCACAGGGGGTTTGCCATGGCTTTTCTGGGGCTGAGAGAGTGTGCATGCATATTTTTTAATTTTTTAAAAAATATATATTTTTATTTTTATTTATTTTGCTTCGGCCCCCCAATTATCTGAGGGACAGCAACCCGGCCCCAGGCTCAAAAAGGTTGCCTACCCCTGTTTAAGAAGAAGAAAATGTTTTACCTTGCTTGGGGGTCCCAATCCACTGGCTCACAGAACATGATCCTGTGGGCTTGCTGTGCAGCTTCCCAGCCAAAAGAGCACCCAAAGGGTGAATCCCATGAACCTTGAATGGGTGTCTTAAATTTATATTGCAATACTTTCCCTCCTCTATTATTAAATTATGTGAAACCCTTGATTTTGTTCCTCTGCCCCTCATATGGCTGAGCCAAAAAAAAGCACACCTTTTTATATGATACCTTTATTAGATCACTGTGTTTTATATGTTCAATTAGACTGCTAACTACCAAGGTATTTCTTACCTGATGACCATGGCCACTTAGCAAAATGAGAGTGCTTTAAACATATTAATGCTGTGGCTTAAGGCAGCAACAGCCTTACATTTTAATTTGGTGCAGGGTGGGGGAAGAGACCTTTTACTACAATGCATTAAAGGTTTCTAAAATCACAACCTGCTTCACAACATTCTTTGATTATTAAAAGCAAGGGACTGATTGAATGCTTTAGGTATGAACATGTCACTTATACTGACCACCAGAGGCATTCAAAGCAATTAGAATAATCAGTTACACTTTTTCAATCTATGAAAGGTTTCAATCAAGCAACCCAATCCATGAATCATTTTAACCATTTCAATCCTTAAAAAAAAAGTTAACAGATGAATGTTGCCTCATAATCCCCTCCTCCTCCTTCACAATCAAGAGTTGTGAGAGAAAAACAATAGTGCTGCACTATTGGTACTCTCTCTCACCTGAAAAAGAAAAATGGGCCATGGAAATCTTTCAGCTCTTAAGTCAATCTTTTCTGCAAATCAGTAATAAGGAGCAGAGCAGATCCGCAAAGGATCAGACTGTAGAATTAATGCAGTTTGATAGCACTTTGACTGTCATGACTCCATCCTGTGGTATGCTGGGATTTGTAGTTTGTGGCACCAGAGCTCTCTGGTAGAGAAGGCTAAGTATCTCACAAAACTACAAATCCCAAGATTCTGTGGTAGGGAGCCACGTCAGTTAAAGTAGTGTCAAATGGCATTATTTCTACAGTGTAGATACACTTATGTCTTTTGTAATAGACATGTCTGTCTGTCTGTCTGCTTTTATACCACTCTTCACTCTAAAAAAGGAATACAAGGAAAGAGAAGGAGAGGAAGGAGGCAGAAAGCATAGTTTTCCTTTTTTTTAATTGCCTCTAAATTTAGGTCTTTGGTCTGCTTCCACTCTCTCTCACTCTCTCATTCTCTCTTTCGTTCTCTCTCTCTCTTTTGCTCCTCATCACCTTGTACTCCTGACAGTTGAAGATTTCCTGCAGTTGAAGAAAGCAGGATCTTCCCATTTTTGATGCTTAATCTATTAATCAAAGATTTTCTCTCCTCTGCTTGTCTCAGTGGATTGAAGATAAATAACTGGCATCTTATTTGGCCTTTATGACATTGTTTTTCACTTGTTCTGTCCTTTAGGGACAATATTACAAACTGTGGCTGACATTCAGTATTGCAGTTAGAAATTTGTAACCATGTGAACTATCCTTTAATTTAGGTGTTGTAAACCTGTGGCCCTCCAGATGTTGGACTAAATATTCAGTGACCTTTTGATCATTGGACATATTGGCTGCAGTTGATAAGAACTTGAGTTCAAAATCATCTGGAGCAGTGGTTCTCAACCTTTCTAATGCCATGACCCCACAATACAGTTCCTCATGTTGTGGTGACCCCAAACCAAAAAAATTTTTTGTCTCGCAGGCTCTCTCGCCTCTCCGCCTTCTAGGCTTCTGTCCTCCGGCGCTTGCTACGTCCACCCACTGATGACGTCAGCAAGCACCGGACACACGTAATGCGCTGCTATAGACTGTGGAGCATCCCCCCGCTTCCCCCGCCACTTAGGCCCCGGACAGATGATGCGCGACTTCTCAGCGGCTAAAGCCATCGGAAATACAGTATGTATTTTCCTATGGCTTTAGGCGACCCCTGTGTTTTGATCATTCGACCCCCGCCGGGGTCGCGACCCACAGGTTGAGAACCGCTGATCTGGAGGGTTACAAGTTCCCTTCTAATGCTTTATGGTTTTAATTTGCCATGCTTAAACTTTATTTGGAGGAACTTTAATGCTGTGTTGAATTCCCTTGCTATTGTTGTTAATTACCTTCTGGACAACTTCAATTTATGGCAGCCTTATCAATGAGAGACCTCCATGAGCCCTGGTCATCATCAGGATGGCTGCATAATTCCCATCCCAGAAACAAAGGAAACTATTAAATAATGGCCGCACTGAACCTTTTAACACTGAAAGAAGGAGAAGCAAAACACTGAATGGGCACATTATGATGCAGCCAAAATGTACAAACAGATTACAGGATTAAATAAGTAGTGAAATGAACATCATAGGAAATCAATATTTGATAATATCATAGAGTGAGTGGGAAGACCCAATGCTAATAGCTATCCAAAGATCCCTGGAACTGGTGGGAGGTTACAATACCATATGTTACAGCAGCCAAGAATGATGTCAAACATTATGCAGAGAGGAAATAATCTCTAGCAGCAAGAGAACTGTTAGGAAACAGGAAAAGCAGCATAGAGAAGTTTTGCAAATTTCATTAATGGATGTTAGGACATACAGGAAAGAAAAAGAATGTGGAAGAAATTTTTGTGTAACCTGTTGGGATCCTCTTCCCTTTTCTTCTAGATCAGGGGTAGGCAACGTTTTTGAGCCGGGGGCTGGGTTGCTGTCCCTCAGACAATTGGGGGGCCAAAGCACCCAAAATAAATAAATAAATAAATAAATAAATAAATAAATAAATAAAAATTATTTAAAAAAAATAAAAAAATATGCATGCACACTCTCTCAGCCCCAGAAAAGCCATGGCAAAACCCCTGTGGAGATTTTGCCAAGAAAACCCCAAGAACAAGTAATAACAATAATCAATATCATCAGGTGGGCGGCAGGGGGTGGGGTGGCGGCAGTGGCAGGACCGGTCTAGGGCCAGTCCAAAGGCCTTGGATGGCTGCATCCAGCCCCCGGGCCTTAGGTTGCCTACCCCTGTTCTAGATTATTGAGTGAAGGGTCTGTCAATTTTGTTTTATCCCTGTTTTTCTTTTTTCCCCTTTAAATTTATGTAATTCTATATCTGCATCAGTTTATAAATTTTCTCCAATGTCACCACACACAAACACACAGAGAGAAAAATTATATCCATTTTGTGCACATTTCTCAGAATACCCATGTTTTTATATAAATTCTGTCTAGTACATACATTCTTAAAGTAGTTTCTCAGAATGCAATGAATTTGTGTATTTGATTGACTTAGTATTCCACCTTTTTCCCAATGACATAAACTGGCTTACAGTACATTAAAATTTCTAATAAAATGCAATAAATTATAAGGATAAATGTATACATTAATTTAAAAAAGTAACTAAAACTGCACCTTAATAAATCCAAGAGATTCAGCATATCCATTTAGATCCAGTTAGCTACCAAACATCTGCCTGAATAGAAAGGTTTTTACCTGTCAGTAGAGGGACAAGAAGGAGGGAAGTAGGCTGTGAAGGTCTGAGAGAACGGCCTTTCCTGTTATTTTCACCATCATACAAATCTCTGCACACTTTCCTCTGTCTACTTAATTTTATTGTTTTATTATTCAATTGAAAAGTCATCACAACATTTTGTTGGTGTTGTTATATTACATCAAGTTGATGGTAATATACAGATTATTAACATATGTTCTTCATGTGTTCCCAGATATAGAGATTGACTAAACAGGGAAGGCTTACAGAAACAAGTGTTTTCAATACATGTCAGATAATTGGAGCATACTGAATTTCAAGAAGATCAAGACTTCATCACATGTCCCCAAACCTTGCGTTGATCCATTTTATCTATATTCTCAGTATACCATTTTTCTCATGAGAACTGATCCTCAGCTCAGATTGCTCATATAAGGAAGATATTTCTGGCTTCCCATTGTCTAGGTCCCATTGTGTACCTAGACAGAGTGCCCCCCAGGTGGCATTGGACAGCTAAACATGTTCAAGATAACTGTATCAGCAGGAATATATTCACATTGGAAATTGAACTGGCAGATTACTGTGGCTCATGACATCTGTGTTAATTGGGCAATGAACCCACAGAAGGATTTAGCTTGAGTTTTAAAAGTGGCATCCAAGAGGTAAACTTTGTCTCCAGAATAGGTTCCATTACTGTGGCATCTCTATTCATATTCTACCTCATGAAGTTATGATGAGAGTAAATTTGGTCTATGGCGTAGTGGTTTGAGCCTTGGGCTGAGACCCTGGAGACCAGGATTCAATTCCCAGCTTGGCTGGAAAACCTACTGGGTGATGTTGGGCAAGCCACACATCCCAACCTCAAGGGAAATCAATGTTAAACCCCTTTGAACCAATCTTGCCAAGAAAACCCCATGATAGGGTCACCTTAGGGCTGTGGTGGTGAACCTATGGCAGCCATGCCCTCTCTGGCACATGAAGCCATTTCTGAGGACACACAGAGAGACAGGAAGGTGGGGGAAGAATAGGAACAGGTGCACCCCTGCTCCTCCTCTTTCTCCACCCTCCCAGGCCTTCAGCTGTCTCTGGGGAAGTCCTGCCCCCAGAAGGCAGAAGTCCCATACCTGGAACCAGGTAACATAAGGTCCAGGAACACCTTTGAGTTCTGGCACTCAGTCTCTAACAGGTTTGCCTTAGGGCCACCGTAAGTTGGAAATGACATGAAGGCACACAGCAACACAAATTTGGTCAAGAGCCACTATGGTGTAATGATTTGAGTGTTGGATGAAGACTCTAGGAAGTGAATCCCAGTGGCCTTGGGCAAGTCACACTTGCTTAGCACCAGAGGAAGGCAATGATAAACCCCTCTCTGAACAAATCTGGCCAATAAAACCCCATTATAAGTTTGCTTTAAGTTAGAAATCACTTGGAGACATATAAGAACAATTACTTTCCTTCTTGGGCTGCTAATGCAGAGAATACTTTGACTTTGATTCATTTCAGCTTTCTGAACATCACAGCAAGAAGGAGATAAATATGGACAAAAAGCCAGATAATTAGTTCAGGAATTGGAGATCAAGGAGAGGGATGTTTTGTGTGTGTGGTTTTTTGTTTTTTTTTGGGGGGGGGTTGAGAGAGACAGAAAGATTTTAAAATTCTGACTTACAATACCTTTTCAATTGCTTATTCATTTGTTATAAACAGTATTTCATATTACTATATGTAATGAAATAGTTTATGTGTTTAAAGAAGAAACTTACTTTGGGGTGTGTTCTCTTTTTTCTTGTCCCCCCCGGCACCCCACTGAACTAGAGGAATACATGTACATCAGTTCAAAAGTTACCTAAGAGGATGAAATTTAAGAATTATCAGTGATGCAAATTAACTTAAACAGGCAAATTATTTTGGCCATATTCTATACATTCCTATCACCGGCTCTGCCACATTTAGAAAGTCTTCACAAAAGGAATGATATGCAAGGAGTCATTTACTGAATTAGGATTTGGAAAATAATTAAACACTGTACACTCATATTTTCTCAATGCTATATGACCTGTTTGAAGAAGTCTTTCTAGAATTAGATCAGAGGATATGATTAAACTTTAAACTAAAGAAGAATTCTAAGCCTTCTTGGTTAATTGCTCACTTTCTTTTGTCTACAGAAAAATGATGTAGAGAGATCGTCAAATACACACCTTTATCCACCAGTTTCACACTTGAAAATTTTGACTTTTCTGCTCTGCTGTAGTTTGCAGTATGACTGCTTCTTCCCCAGCAATGAGGTAACATTATTGGATTTACCTGTTCACTGATTCACTGTAACTCTGGTGGATCACTGTTCCACAGTTTGTTAAATGGGTCTACTCAAACTGGGATTGGTCAACAGGATTCAGGCTAATAGCTGTTGTTGTATGCCTTGAAGTTGTTTCCGACTTATGCTGCCCCTAAGGCAAACTTATCATGGAGTTTCCTTGGCAAGATTTATTTACCATAGCCTTTCTCTGAGGCTGAGACAATATGACTTGCAGAAGGCCACTCAGTCAGTTCCTATGACCAATAAGGGATTTCAACCTTCTTTGAAAGTTCACTCATATCACTACACCTCACTGGCTCTCACACCATGCTGGATCACTAATAGCGTTATTGTGTGCCTTTAAGTTATTTCTGTCGACCCCAAGGCAAGCCTATCATAGGGTTTTCTTGGCAAGTTTTGTTTAGAGGAGATTTGTCATTGCCTTCTCCTGAGACTGAGAGTGTGTGACTTGCCCAAGGTCACCTAGTGGGTTTCATGGTTAAACAGGGAATCAAACTCTGGTCTCCAGAGTCATAGTCCAACATTCAAACACTATGCCATGAGGATCACTAATAGCTACCAGTCTCTAAATCAGGGATGGGAGTAACATGGTCCTCCTGATGCAGTGGTAGAACTATATCTCTCAGCAGCTATAGTAAGCATAGCCAGTGGGGAGAAATGTGAGGGCTAGCAATCAACAACTTCTGAAGAATCATTGGTTGGTTCCCTTCCCTGTTCTAAACTTTCAAACGTGCAGCCCAAGTTGTTTTACTGCCTGAGTTGTTAGGCTATGGTGATCCCCATTCCACCCACCCCAATAATAGAGCAGAATACCCCAAATTCCGGTTTCTTAGTCTCATGACATGGAGAATTCCACAAGTCCCTCTTCCAACCTTGGCAGTCAAAATACATTAATAATGATCAGTTAATAAAGATATTTTTGTGGGGTTTTCAGGCTGTGTGGCCATGTTCTAGAAGAGTTTCTTGTTGATGTTTCACCAGCATCTGTGGCTGGCATCTTCAGAGAAATCAGCCACAGATGCTGGCAAAATGTCAGAAAGAAACTCTTCTAGAACATGGCCACACAGCCCAAAAAACCTACAAAAAACTATTGATGCCTGCCATGAAAGCCTATGTATGACTTCACAGTTAATAAAGAATTTGTTGTCCTTTCATTACAATGGGAATAATTACCTCTGCCTAATGGCAGGGAAGCATTACAAATTTGGTTGTTTTGGGGGATGTAATAAACCTTCTCAGCCAATTCCATGAGGCTGTGGCTCTCAGTTAGATCGAGCATTGTTTAACCAGCACAAGGTATGTTTGCTGCCAAGTCTTGGTCACAAGTGCTTCTATAAGACCTGGAAGTCATCCCTGGAAATCGTATCCACTCAGTATCTTGACAACATGGGGAAGGGAACAGGACATCCAAAGAGCACATGCTCTAAATATGAGAGAATCCTTGTTCAGTTCTAGCATCACTGTTAAAAATGTTGCAGGACTAGGAAAGATTTTTTTTCCTTGGGACTGTAGAGAGCTGGGGTAGACCAGAGCAGGCAAGGCTAAATGGACTCTTCCATCCCACTTAGTGTGAGACATCTTCATATGTTTGCAGATCTAAGGAGGACCCCCATCAGTTCTTGTGGCCCAGCTTGGGAAACTCTAGACCAGTGGTTCTCAAACTTTGTTGTTGTTGTAGACTTCAATTTCCAGAAATCTCAGGTGGTACAGCCAATGGTCAGGAAGTTGAAATCCAACACATCTGGAGGGCCATAGGTTGACAATAAATGAGTTATGTGATTGGTTAAATGGTATTTTACAGCTGACTTCATCCTAAGAATGGAAATATATTTCATTGAATAAAGCTGCATTTTTTGCAACACCTGAGACTTTTGAAAACTTTGAGACTATTTTGAAAAAAGTATACCTTATTGTTACCAGTCACAAATTTGTGAAGCTTATAGAATGTTCTAAAACATAAAATGTACTAAAATATTTTTTAAATGTAAATGGCTAATGTGCATAATTGTAAATGTATATAATTAAGCAGTGTGTGTAGTGAGAAAATATGTGGAAAAGTATAAAGTTGGTGTGGAAAAAGTGTGCAAAATAGGTAATGTACACAAATAAATATGTAAATTATGGAAAGAAGCACAAAGTCTTACAATCTGATGCAAAACAAGGACAAGAAGAAAATGCAGGTGAGAGTTGAAGAAACTCAACAAAGTTTAAACAAATGGATGTGGGATTTGGAGAAACTGTGAAATTAAGAATGACACATTTTCATCCCTCTTTACATTTCACATCCCTTCATAATCTTCACATTACAACTGAAGAATCTCTGTAGCAGAAAAAGTTGTTACGCAAAATGCAAGGGTTCTGAGAGGACACCCAAAATCAATATTCACATGGGGAATTTTATTAGTTCAAATGAAAGCAGCCAAGAGGGTTTGGGCAACTAAAGCAGACATCAACCCTGTCTATAATAGTTCTGAGAAACAGAACACCAGAGTGCAGGTCCAAACATAATTTTATTTGCAATTAAAGCAAATCCCCATTCTCGCAAGATACTCACTCACACACACATCTAAGAACTAAGATATAAAAGATAGCAGCAGATAGCTACTTAAAAGGGGTTGCAGAGGGTAATACTATACCAATTCCAGATGCATAGCTCCAGTTGGTGGGATACTGTGACTTAGCATGTCACAATGCTCAGCAGTGCACAGCTCAGCAGAGACCTTGGGATCTTGGTGTGGCCAGCTTATGCTGAGGAGTCAGGTGAAATCTGTGGAGACTGCCTGTCTGACCTCAAGTGAGACTGAACTGAGGGTGCCTGAGCAGGCATATTTAAAAGGCAAAACATATTCCATGGTAGACTTCAGGACATTTGTGGATTTCCAAGAGAGAAGAAGGCGCAAGGAAGTTGAGAATGGCTGGACAATAAGTGAAAATTAGAAAAGGAGTATCACTTCCAGAGGGGAGTGTACTTGGATTTTTATTCATGTGTAAAAAAAAGATCTATAGCCCACCACCACTTCTATCAGTGAAAGGATTATGCAGATTCTGACCTTGATTGATCTGTCTTGACTACTTGCTCTTGAGCTTCCTCATGCTGATTTGCTGAGGCACACCCACAGCTATATGTTATAAACATCTCATTTTGATATCAATTTGAAATGGCATATTAGCCAACCCAGGGGGCAGGGGGATGAAAGACACACGAAGGTGGGATGCAAATGGGCAGCTCTAGGCCGCCCTAGGAAATGGCGGATCAGGGCTGCAGCTACCCCACGCTGCGGCCCCGATCCTCCCTTTTGCCACCCCAAAAAGAGCGGCTAAATGCTGCTCCTTTTAGGGGTGGTAAAAGGCCACCCTAAGAGCCGGCGTGCGGCTCTTCTTCACCTTTTCTGGCACAGCGCATCAGAATGCTGTGCCGGGAGGGCATCCTGATGCTACATGCTGTGCGTAATGGCATGCAGCATCAGGATGGCATCGGCATGGGGTGGGGTGTCCGGTGTGTGGC